ATATATATTTATTTATTTATTATGTAAGATATATGTTTATGCTTATATATCCATGTACTAATAATAACATAAAATTCATTATTTTTTTCTTTTATAATTTTTAAGATAAAGTATATTTTAACATATTTTAACACAGTCCTACACCGTTTATCCTAAACCTTTTTTTCTTTTTGTTGTATTATATTTTTCCTCAACATAACTGAAACAGGGCGAGGAACAGCCTGATACTTAGAAGTATCAGGCTCCTCGCCCTGATGAAACGGACTGCAAGGTTTATTACATTATCACTAATTAATAGAAACTATGTTTAATTTATATATTAAAACAGGGCTCGGTATATATTAAAACATACACGATACACTTTTCGGTCGATTTTCAGCTTAGTTTCCCGTCCCTTACCTCACTAACCTGTACACATCAAGCTGAAAATCGATCGAAAAATGCATTGCGTGCCGAACTCTGCAATAAGATAATCTATTCAATACAATTATTGCCCAAAGGAAATAAAATTAACTGCCATATCTCAACTATCAAGAGGTCATCACATAGAAATCTAAATAATATATCCTTAAACGAAATACATTGGCGATGCTGCCATCTTTATTTGAAAATCTCTCTGTTCCCTTTCTAAATCAGCCAAATTAATGTTTGATTTCCTGCAAAGGGAAACAATGTCTTATAAATCATGATCGTAATTAATATTCGATATTGTAATTGATTGCTTACGTTTGTAACAAGATTCTTCCGCGAAAAGCTGCTAAATGAGCATAATACGTTGGTGCCGGATAGCTTACTGATCTTGTACAGCGGGCATACATATGGCAAAGAAAATAAGTCATTTCCTCAAGCTGATCTTCGTTAAATTGAGAATCGTTGCATATGCATCTGTATTTTGTAGGCCTCGCTGTACCCTGTGCATTTATAGTATAATCAACATTTACATATCAAATGAATTTTATTTGGTTAAAGAAACATGCGTTTGTAAACATAGTTTGGAAATTTAATTATTTAATTATTTATACATATATATACTTTGAAGTATTTTGAAGTAAATTATTATAATTATTACGAGTTAATTATTCTTAATTGCTATTAATCATTGTAAAATTTTTTATGTTTATATTTATTTATAAACAATGAGACATTTATAATTATACATATGAACGTATTAAAAAAACAAGCCAATGATTTTACCTGAATACTCGCATGTGATACGAGATAAAAATCAATATGATCTGGATGCGTAATAGTTTTATCGACAATTGTACCCGCTCTCACGTTACAGTTTCTGTCATCTGTTTGATATTTATTTGTGGGAAAGAGACGCACATGATGTCTCTTCTGAACAATCATGCAGGTAACTTCAATATTACCTTTATTAAATGCTTTAATTGCATTTTTAATAGCATTTATTTCATAAAACATAACTTGAGGAAGTTGTCCCTCGCTAACTCCGTCTCTAGATATTGATATAAATATAGAATCAATATGCACTAATAAATTTTTTATTTACTCTAACTGAACATTCATAATTGTTTATATCTATGTAATAGTTTTTCTCTTTATGTATATATATAAAAAGAATTTATTTTTAATAATTTATATAATATTGAACATTGCCAATATTATACAACATACCGGTAATAGATGAGTCTTTGCGGTGAAATCTTTGTTCCCTGATAATAGATATTAAGTTGTGATAATATTATTGCTTCAAGATCTAAAATCATTTCTTCTTTAGGTGGTTGAAGTCTGAGTGTAACACTATACTGGAAAGCTGAATTATTTCTACTTGCAGCAACCTAAATTAATGATATTTCTTATTAATACACATATTCACATAAAAGAAAAGTGCGTTTAATAATTATACAAACCGCCGCTATAGATGGTACATTTTTAGAATCAGGAGCCGGATGAGTTACATCGGCACCAACAAGCATGCAAGAACAGTTTCTTAAACATGATGGCCTAAGAAAGGAAAAAAATCGGAAAAAAAAGTTTTATTCGAGACTATAAAGATTTTTATAAAACAAAGCATAAATATTATTCACTTACATGTTATCCAATATATGATTGATGCCATTTAATTTTGAGTTTATTTTTTGTAAAAGATTTGTTATTGTAGCAGTAGCATTATATTTATTTCTCATTTCCACATTTTTTTTTTTTATACACTGTGTCAAAACACCTACGTCCATTTCGCTAATTTTTTTTACACATCCTAAGATAATAATAAGTATCATAAGATTGATTTATATTCAGAATAAGAAAGTATAATGAAAAGAATCATATGTACTCACCATATATTGGGTCTGTAAAATCTGGTATGATAACCATTATCAATTGTAAATGTTTCTGATGATTGAAGTAAGTTGTGATACCATTTGTATTCTGTTTATTGATTGTTTTAAATGGACTTTCAGGGTTATTAATTGTCATACCAAAGGTTCTTGCTAAAAAAATAGATTTAATATAATAACAAAATGTACTATGAACACAACTATATAACATAATTCACAATTGCAAATTATGCATAATTTTTTTATCAATTAGATGTATTATACTTTTTGGAAACTAAAAAATATGATATATATATATATATAAAATATAGAATACATTTGAAAATTATAACTTTATTTATCATATACTTAACCAGTGTCTTGTAATTTTTTTACAAATTCCCATATTTGAGGATCAGTTATTCCAGTTAAGTTAAGAATAGTCCACGAGTTAAATCCCAAATGTTTGGCTTGATTAAACTCGTGCAAATTCCATACTCCTTTTTTTACTAACGTTGAGTCTTTAGCATATTTCAATGTAGGAGGAGGCAAAACTCTGGCATCAACCTTTTGCATTTCTGTACTTACAGATACATTGAACTCTTTTTTCATGACAGGACTACGATTTATTTCCAGTTTTTTGAACTAGACATATAACACAATAAACATAACGATATAAACATAACAATATAATATGTTCAATCTAACAATGTAAAGATCTTTTACCGCTGCTTCTATGTTCTGTTTACGTTGAGACGCACTCGTTGCTGCTACTCGAATCATATTTCTGGTTTGGGTTTCATTTAATTTTTTATTAAAGGCCTGACCACCCACAATGCTGCATAACTATAAGTGTTCAAAGAAATTTTAAATTTATTTTACATTATCACTTACTTGTAGCAAATATAAAACAGCTTACGTACTTCAAGAGGGACTAAGATTTTGTCTCCGTTGGAAGTCTTGCCCACATGAAGAGTAGGCAAATCAGGTTTTCTTATGCTATATCCCTTTATGACCCGAAAATATGTTGTTATTGAGTAAGATACATCGGATGATATAAACGTATGTGAGTTACAACTATCGGGCCACAAATCGAGTACACGGTACGTACGTTTCGATTTTGATATGTTAGGTATTTCATAAGTCACTTTTAAGCCTTTCAAAAAACCTAGTATCTTGTCTTTATTTTTTATTATATCACTATGAGAAAGCTTTTCTTCCCCAATCTTTGTAAGTTCAGTTATGTATTGAAGTACTCTTTGATTCATGGTAAATCCTTTATGAGCAACTAAATAAAATGTAAGAAGTAATATATAGAGACTATAGATAAATATATTTATTATAGTTTTCAGCTTAAAAATTATTAAAAGCTTTATAAAAGTATTGTTTATAATTGAAATGATAAAAAAATCATATCAATCATATTCAATATATCATATCATATTAATGGATATCTTACCATCTACATTTAGATATGGTTTCCACCCAAGTACACCAGAGAGAAATCCACCGTGTACTAGAAATAAGCCATCACCTAGTAGCTCACTTTCATCAATTTTATCAATTTTATTAAGTTTATCTTCCACATCCCAGTAAAGTGATCTTCCAACCTATAGTAACATATTTTATATCATGCATTTTATATATATTTTACTACATTTACATTAATTTCCTCTAATTAGATTATAAAGTATATAAATAAATACATATTTTTAAAAAGTTAGTTTCTATTCTCAAATTAATATACAAAATTAATTTATTTAAATAAATATGATTTATTTAAAAAAAATCAATATTATAATTAAACTTAATAAAAATTATTATTAATGCTAATTAATTTTAATTATTATAACATTATTAGAGAAGAAAATGGTACTATGGCCCCTCATTTACACATTACACAATAACTTGATTAACAATCAATATTAAACTTAAAATTTAATGATTACATTCATCCAAGTACTGCTCAATTGATTCTAGACTCAAAGAATATTCTATTTCTTTTTACCAATCACTATATCTTAGAAAGAGAGGGAGTTAACTGTTCTTATATTCTCTCTTTCTTATTCTTGTTGACTACTTTTGTGATCTATATATTCAGAATAGTAGTTTATGCCCTCCAAGGCCATACTATTATTTAACTTTGCATAACTCGAAACATATATAGTCAAATAAAATGTTAAATAATAACACATTAAAATATAATTACATTAGTATGATAATATGTTCAAGTTTAAAAAGTAATGAGGACGTATGTGTAATTAATTATTGAACTGTATCTTAAAAACATTTCGTAATGTTTAAATGTAAAAATGCGTTATAATAAATATCAGTTATTAGCATCTTATCACCACTGTATAGCAGCAGCTTCTAAACAAACGATTCCATAAGTAATCATTAGAATTCGTCAACTAATAATGGAAACATTTAAGAGAGACCAAATATTATCTTTCTACATAATCGCTTACATTAGTAAATCTCGATTCTGGTGCATGACGCATGATTATATCCAAGACTTGTAAAGCGGTTCGATCTTTATTTTCTGCAAGACCAGGTCTCAAATTTTTTATCCAACTAAGATCAATATGAGCCACTTTCCTCAGGTTAATTTTATATTGTTTCTTTTGGTTCTTCTCATTTTCAAACCAGAAGACATCTTCCTTCTATATAGAATGAAAAAAAATTAAACTATTATAAAAAAAATTCTTTTTCTTTGTTTTATTCTCAAAATATTTTCATCAAACAATATTATTCCATATATGATAAATTGTGTTAAATTACAATTAACGTGTGTATTACTTACTTCATTGGGGAAAGGAAGCTCATTTGCGCTATATGCATTTTTATTCCCATCATAAGCTGGAAATCTCTCGCTAAAATGTTTATTTCTACATTGTTCAAAAATATTTCTACATAAAATCTTAGGAAGTCTGGTTTCTTTCTTGGTTTCTGTTTTCTTGGGCTTTTCATCAAGAGGACGAATATTAATATCATAATGAACTGCATTGGTTACAAACTTATCGCTGAATATAATTTGGAACATATTTGTAAACACAGAAATGTTGTCCCCTATTGTCCCACCACATAGTGGATTTTTTCTCTTTGGTATCATGTTATGATATACTTTCAATTGTTCAGATGACATTTTTGCCTTTTCAGTCTTTTCTTTGTGGAATGGATCTGTCAAAGCAAGCTTAGATACCTGAAAAAAAAAAATTTTTTTTTTTTAATTAAATAAATTCAGAATGCAATATATATTTGTAAGATATTTGTAACAGATATTTTATTAAACACATGCATGTATAATTATATTTAAAAATAATATGTGTATTTTATATAACATAATAATATGTAATCATACATCAAGAGTACTTGTTGATGGTTGTTCTCGGTGCACACCACTTGTCTGTACTTGTCGATGATCACCAGCAGCACCAGTACCAACTATAAAAAATAAAAATGTGTATGTATGTATATATATATGTACACGCGCGCGCGCGCGCGCGCGCGCAC